AGTCATGAAGTTAAATTTACAGCTCCTGGAGCTTGTCATCATGCAAGATGGCTTTCAAAAGCTCTCTACTGTTTAAAAATATATATGTTTCGCAGACAGTTCAAAATTTCAATCAAAGAATTGAATGTTTTACGTAAAATATGTGNTTCTACTAAGTTCCCGTGTATTTTAAATGGAAAATCTTCACACGCCTTGGCCGAGTACTTAAAATTAATATTAAGGGCTCAAACTTTCAGGGAATTTTTTTTTGGGTATTTCCAACAAAATTGCACGATGGGACCGAAAAAAAAAAATAGTCGCAAAAAAAAAGCACCCTAGTGATACATATTCAAAACCATTTCGATTCATACCACTCTTCTATACTAATACATATATATTTTGAAAGCCGTTTCTTATGTGTTCGCAAATCTCGAGAACGGCCGAACCGATTTTTTTGAAATTTGATTTTGATGTTTCAGACGTCCCAAGGATGGTTATAGGCTAAAAAAAATTCGATATATAAAGGGGGCGGAGCACATCCGATACAAACCGATTTTTTCATACTGCATATCTCTGGAAGTAGGGATGCCAATCCCGGGATCGCGGAATCCCGTAGTTTGTGACGTCCCGAAAATTTTGAAATATCGAATTGATAGTAAGAATTTGTTTACGAATTTTGAAGTACGATTTTTGTAAAATGCCGTTTTGACTGCAATTAAAAAAAGCTTGAAACTGTACTTTTAAATTGCAGTCTGAGCCTTTTTGAAGAAGTTTTAAATGAATTTACTCATAGCGTCGCTAATGTAAACGAAACAGAGAGTTTTAAGGAAAAGTTAGATAATTTTTTAGATCAATCTACTCAAAACTTCCTCAAATCGAAAAACGAGAAACGTGCTGGTAAAAGAAGCTCAAATATTTTGTAATGGAGGAGACAGGGGTCATTATCTTCAAATGGATTACGTCTACCTTTTGGCAGTTCAGCCTAAAAGTGTTGATGCCGAAAGATGTTTTTCATCAGTAAGTTTTGTATGTAAAAACTGCAGGTCAAGCTTAGAATATTCCGCTTTGAATGCTTTGCTGCTCTTATGAAAATATTTTAAGTGCAATAATAACAGCACCGGAAAATAGGGGTGTGTGTTTTTAACCAGACCCACCTACCTACATGTATTTCGACCCGCTGAATCCGATTCTGAGATCCGTTTGACTCGTACATCCTCAAAATTTCTAGTAAATTGCGAAACAATGGCTAAAAATTCTCCATTCGCCATTTCTTTATAGAGTAGAATAAACATGTTTAGAGGAATTATTTTTGTATATTTTTGTTTTATGTTTTCTTATTAATCGTTACTTTCAAAAGTACCTGGTATTTAAATTATTATTTGTATGTATACGTTCCTCAATCACATGGTTTTTTAAATACAATTAAAAAAATATTTTACTTTAAAATTTGTCTGATTTAATAAATAAATATCACTAGCGTAGAGTGCTAAGTTGCTCAGTCCCAATTTAAAAATTGTTCAGGAGAGGAAAAAACTTCGTATAGCCATTGTCTTCAAGTATTTCGCAAAACTTTGAACACAACGTTTTGCCTGTTTAAAGCACAGCAAAACTCCGCACGAATCAGAGGGATTCGATCTTTATTAAAAGATTTCGAACTTTTTTGGCCTTATCGAATTTTCGGAGCTTTTTTTGGCCTTAGCAAATTTTCCTTTCATTGAATATAAACGAGAAAACATAAAACAAGGACCTTTACCCTTTCCAAACCAATGCAATATTAATTTATCTAGCCTCCTATATCAAAATATGATTTTTGCTTAAAAGTGAAGTTAGCAACTTTTCACTCTAAGCTAGCGATATATGAGTTTTACAATCAGTTTATCGTAAATTTCAAATAGTTTTATTTCATGGTATGTTTAAATGCTTTCAGATAATGAATTTTTACTCATATTCATTAAAATTGTAACGTAGCTTTGCCTACGCCACAATAACACATTCAACATCACCCTAGCATACGTCTTACAACTGCACATAGGTACCAAGATACGAACATACATACATACATACTGGTAGGCGTACACACAAACCAACATACCAACATAGCTTTGCCTACGCCACAATAACACATTCAACATCACCCTAGCATACGTCTTACAACTGCACATAGGTACCAAGATACGAACATACATACATACATACTGGTAGGCGTACACACAAACCAACATACCAACATAGCTTTGCCTACGCCACAATAACACATTCAACATCACCCTAGCATACGTCTTACAACTGCACATAGGTACCAAGATACGAACATACATACATACATACTGGTAGGCGTACACACAAACTAACATATGCGAAGCTGGCATGGTAAGCACATGCAGATTTCGCAAACAGCAAACTTGGATACTCATGCGCACCAGCAGATGGAAGAAGTTCACTGCGCAAAAGCCATAACACGGAATAAGCCCATTCACTTCTCAAACGGTTCATACAAAACCGGAGCTAAAGCTGCCAGCATGAACTCAACCAGCATCGGTTGTCCGTAGGTAAGCACGGAGCGCAGCCTGGACTTTGGGCCTATTTGGGGCGCTCTTAGCTTTCCTCCTCGGAGGAAGACTGATTGGTTGAGGGGGGGCTGCAAGGGGGGGAATACCCCTCAGGCAACACCTCAAAACCATTATGGGCTAGACCCATTTTTGGTTACGGTCTCAAGCAGACAGGGGGCGAGATCCGTTTGGGCTTGCCCAATTCCGAACACCACTGCCTGCTTGCGATACCGCGCGGCCAGCGGGCGCTGGAGGGGAGGGAACCACCTCCCTACAGAGTCTAGCGGCCGCGAA